CTTTGAAGTGGTAAAGGAAAAAAAAAATCCATAAACACTGTGCTATATGAGGCTCTTTACAGTAAAATACTGACTTCACAGAAGTGAAGTGAAGTTAAATAAGACCAGCATATATCCTCAACTGCATGCATGGTCTATTCTTGATGTTTATTGCTTTCTCTTCAAATTAATATTCCTTTGTCCACTGATTAAACTATTAGAGAGAAATAATTTTTTTTTCAGCATGATGAGAGAGTATGTCACAGCAGAACTATCATTTTTATAATTTAACTTGTTCTGCGTACTAAGGTATATAATGTGCATTCAGATTCAGGATTTGCTAACTATTTTTCTAGTGATAACATATACAAAGCTCAAATATTTTCTCTGTTGCTGTGTTTTGTTTTTCCCAGCTTAAAATGCAAATGAGACATTTGGATGAGACACTCTTGTTTTTCCAGTGAACAGAAGATGTGGCACTGTTCAAGCATTGTTTCTTTTGGGCCCCACCCTGCTCATGCAGACGGTTCAAATGGGTTCAGTGAAATTATAAAGCCATTTCTGGAGGGGGATCTTTTTTTGGCATTTTTAATGGCATTTTAGTTGCTGAGGTAACCAGGCTTAATTGGCCTCAGGACAGACTAGGATCTTGTCCTTTACTAGAAGAACATTTTTGTTCTCAGATCACAGAAACAAGTCTGAGTTTTTACTTCTAAGTGAAACAATATTAATTAAAGCCACTCACTTTTTTAATTCCCCAAGTAGAATACTGCCTGTCAAACTCCACAGTAAAGTAAAGGTGCTTAAATGGAGTCATATTAAAAATCTTGTTATTAAGGACAAATTGATTATGACAAAATCAATCACCACTGAGAAGCACCTAACAATTCCAAATCCACTTCAGATCTTGGAGCTTGAACCTTAACTGACAGAGAGGTTAAAATAAAGGAGGTACACCAAATTATATCCTTTTTAGATAGGTCAGTATTTCAATTTGGAAAAAAATATATCAAACCCATAAATATGCTATAAAAATGTTGCCTGAACACCCAATATAATATTATAAATCATCAGTACAAGATTATAGTAAGAGATCATTGAGTTACACCTCATTAAATAAAAATGTGAATAAAGACCTAAAGCTGAGGTCCCTCCAAGTCCTATTTTTCAGTCTAGGACTTCCAAGTTGTGTGTGTGTAAGCTTTTCCAAACTCCAAGATATTTTTTACTTATCTTAAGTAAAAGCGTACACAGATACCTCCACTAACTACTACTTCCATATGCCAGCATCATGCCTAACTCAATAGCTTCCACATTAAGTTTGCAACTACTGCAAACTTTTCCTGCTGTGCACTGGTTTGCATTCCTCACAGAGAAAACATAACCTATGAAAAAAAAAACAACAGTGTTAAGAAATCTTACTTACGAGTACTTTGTTAGTAGATCCAAATCATTATGCATGTTGATTGGATATGTCTCACTGAGATGAAACAGCTTCTCTAAGGCCTCATAAATGAAAATGATGCATATAAGAGAAGCAAAAGCTTCTTCAGTAAACCGGGTAATGTAGCAGACTAGGGAGCTTGCATCAGTTGCAACAAGGATGATGCACAGGATTGCAGTCCACAGTCCAATGCTAGCTCTCAGAGAAAGGTACGACAACCCATACTCTCTAAAAAAAGAAAAAAAATAAACACAGTTTCTCTTTTGTCCAGCCACAGTAAATGGAGAAGAGGTAGCTCCAAAATTTCCTTTGCCCAAGGATGTGCGATTCTGGGGACAGTCTGATTCAGAAATTATTTACCTATTGTGAACTGACGATACTGTCAAGTCACCTCTTGACCTGACCTCTCCTCCCAATCAACAGGACACAAAGACCTCTATCTCTACTAAAGTGAGCAAGCAGCTTTGAGAGTAGTCACACACATCAAGTGTATAAGGTCTACACACTTTTTATCCCATATCCTGCCTTGTGAACAGCCGACACCTGCCAATTTCTTCTTAAGCTGCAAGAGGAGTAATAACAACTTTCATTAAAATCCTGTATGCTTACTGCATATAATAGAGCTCCAAACAGGTTGGGTGACATCATCACAGAAAACTGAAAGGTCTACCTGAAGGTGATAAAAGACCTTTTGGGGTGTGAAGTGGGGTCTCCTACTCTATGTTGTTCAGGAGATCTGGGTGCAGAAGTCCCCATCACAGCAATGAGGCAGAAAAGCAGAGAGGATTGCAGAGAAGCATGATGGTTGCCAAGATGCAGACATAATTCTTACCTACACTGTGGCAGAGGTATGTCATGTATAGCACATTAACATAAATGTGGTGATATGCTGTTCTGGCATGATGCTTCACCGCTTCTCTCTTTGGGTGGAGGAAGGGCAGGGTCTATATTACTGACTATTGAGAGATGGCACCATTGCCACTGCACTCACTTCCTGGGTGAGAGGTAACACCTTTTGCATGAATTAAGGATGAGATAAACCACAGATTTAAATGTATTGTTTCAGAGTAGAAAATGATACAGTAAAAAAAGAAAAACCAAAACAATATCCTGAAGTTTGCACTCCCTTCAAAACACTCTGGGGTTCTTTTGGAAAACAAACAAAAAACAAAAATAAAAAAAAAAAATCAACCTTTCTGCATTACCACCAATTCACTTGTCTCAGTTACTGCAAAATTCTCAGACTCTGAAAGCCTAAGCAGTGCACTCCAAAATAAACTGTTGATCTTATTCTATAGATGTTGGAACTTTGGGATCTTTACTTTTACCTAACAACACCCAAGAGATGATGCATATCATGATCTTCACTTACTTGCAAAATTTGAATAAGATCTTCTCAAACACTAAGACTGGTCCTGTGCTGCCAAGTATAGTGAGAGGCTGTCCACCAAAGAGAGAGTAGGCAATTCCAGTCATGGAGGCTCCAAACAGCGACTCTATTGCACTCTGAATACGATACAGAGAGAAATGTCCATAAATTTTCAAACAGGTTCTCTTTGCAATGTCTTAGTCTGTAGCCTTCTAAACATTGAAACACCATATTTAAAGATGATTCATGCTACAGTAAGAAAATACTAACCACAAACCTAGGAATATAAGTTTGTTTCAAAAGTTCAGATTTAACACATACTATACGACCTTCAGTTGCTTCTCCCAGCAGACCACCAAATGTGATGACAGGAGACATGCAAGCACAGTAGAGAAACAAAAATGATGCCAGACACTGCAGACTGAGAGCATCCCTGAAGTCACTCCAGAAGAAGGGAGCTTTTCTTTTTATATCTAAAATCAATCCTCCAAAAAATCTAAAAAAAACCAAAGAGATTAAATTAATGAAAAAGGCATACTAAACTTTCTTCCACGGTATGGCTTTAAATATACTGCAGAGAAGCTATTGTTCCTTGATCAGATGATACATACTCTTATAATTCATCCCTCCCAGAAAAAAGTTCCTGGGAGTCCCGTCTTAATAACTTTAATCCGGAAATTGTGTTTTTAAAATAAACTAATTTGCATATTTCTTTTATAAAATCTTCATCTAATCACCCAGACCCAAAACTTCTAAACAGTTGTTAGCTCCCATGCATAAAATCCTATCATTTATTATGTGAAATAATTCTTTGCATTTGTTTAATCAGAGAGTTACCACTGTGTCTGTTTGCCTACACATCTACATTCTTTACTTTCACATTCTTTATTTGAGAACCTATTCCTACATATACTTGACAATAGAATGGAATGTAGGCCACAATTTTTCAAGGACAAGAACTGTCATCTTTTGTCATTTACACTATGCTAAATATAATCAAGTATTTAGGAACAGACGCTCCCTTACAATATACCATACAGTTAAAGTCAATAGCCTCACAATGCTCTTTTTCTCACAGATACCCGATGTATCGTCTGTTGCTGGGGTAAAGAGGAAGACAAAGTGCCACCATCTCCTAAACACTAGACTAGCCATCAACTACCAGGTTCACCAGTGAGAGAACAGCTTACGGCCAGGCTGGCCATTGTCTCCTCTGCCCCACTGCATACACCAACACTGCAGCTGAATCTGTAGCCTTATGCAGGTAGGAATGATATTTCAGTATCATGAGGCAGCAAGGTGAAAGAAAAGTCTATCGCACAACTACACTGGACAAAGGCAACCACTGACAGCTGATGCACTTACACCACACCATATTAGATAAAAGAATGCAAGTATTCCTTGGGGCAAATTCTTCCTTCTGATGTGTGTATATTGCAGCCACTATGATAATCATACAGGACATATCATGGCTTACTGAGGTAAAAAAGAAATGCTAGAGCTGAACAACCCAGAAACTTCAATTAAAAAATAGTTGTAAGCTTTCATAACATATGGCACAAGACTATTCCCAACTTTTCTTTTGTGCTGTACAAAAGTAAGAAACGTTAATCAAGTTTAACAGAGGTGTGGCCTTTACAAATAATAAAGAAAGGAGCTTGCAATAAATACAATGTGAAAACTCAAATCCTCTTGCCCTCTCCCCCTCTCTTCAAGTTAGCCTGTATTGTCCTTTTCAACTATGTGGTACACAAATCAGGAAAAATGCCTGAAAAAAATCATGTGCCAAGCCAGTCATTTGAGAGAGAACCAGATCATTAGGATTTCTTTGGAAGTGCATCACTTAGAACACTCAAGATTTTGCGTGTTTTCACTAACTTTCCAGTGCGTTGCAGTTCTGGTCCAGAGTGTCCTCCAGGCTGTTCTGCATCCCCATGGGCTGCAGTTCCATTTGGCACTCCTGGGATCTTACGCTTCTCCTACCAGAAGAAAAAGATACTTCTCGTGGGTCTTAGCAACCAAAACATAATTTTAGCAAACAGGCTTTGAGAGTTGAAAGACTAAACATGTAAATTTTATTGTAACATTCAACATAACCTCTTCATAAGCTGTAGAGTTCTACAACAGGAAATAGCAGAAGGAATTGTGATCTAAGAAATTTAAAGAATTGATCACAGAAAATCCTGTATCAGAAAACATTTTAAAGAGTAGCAAGCCAGGCTGCTTTGATCGATTCCTGCAATAAGCTTAGAACAAAAGCAAACCATGGCTGTTCGGAATAATCGAAGATGCTTATGACCAATTACGCCGAATTTAAGATCTTCAGATACAACTATGTGTCTTTATTCAGGAGAGAACTAGTCTTGAACTACACGAAATGTCATCACTATACTGTATGCTTGCAAGACAAGGGTTCTGTTAAAGCAAATTAACGAAAATAAAAAGGAGCATGCAAAACTTCTATATAGTGACTGCTAAATACTAAATTAATAAGACTTAATTCTACCCAGCAAAAATTCATCACAATGTTTATAATGTCTGAATTTTACAGTGTACAAACCTGAGAGGGAACATTTTTAGGTGGTTCTATTCGAATAGTTGGGTCCCACTCTCCAGGAGGGAGAACAGTAACCTGATCAAGAAATTCATCAATTCCAGACACCAAGTCATTGCGGTCTTTTGCTTTGTAAGCAACATCATGGAACACCTGTGAAAAATGGAGAAGTGTATGTGGGAGGAAAAAAGAGATAGGGAAAGGAATACTCTCATAACGTTTTTCATGATGGCCCCATTTCTCTGAAATAGAACATGCTTCATGCAGTTCCCACCAAACAAACCACCTCAGCTTCAACTGACAAGGGTTTCTGGTACATCAGTTTCATAGAAGCTCCAGCTGCTAGGGAAAAACATCTTTATGGGTGCTAAATGTTCTAGATATTTTACAGTTTAAACACAATTGATTCCACTGGAAAGTAACTGTGTAAAATGGAATCTTCTCAGTGAAGATATCCTTGCATGTGAATATTGTTTCTCATTTTGTTATCTCCTTAGGGCAGCATAATCTGGGCTGTTACAGGATCATGAAATGAACCAGAATGCCATTTGTGCATCATCAGAATGATTAGCCACATTTCACCTGGACGATTCCACATTGGAGATTCCCTAGTACACCTCTTCAGTCAGTACAAAATGACTAAAACCAAGCCATGAATAAAAATACCTCATCTGTCATTAGTGTTGCAATTGATCTTCCAATCTCATGGTATTGCTGCCCTTTACCCAGTGGTCCCAGAAGAATAAACAAAAATCTGCAAATAAAAGATAAATAAAAAAATGGCAAAGGATACATGGTTGAAAATAACTATACATACTACAGAAATACTTATTTAAAAATTGAACTAGAAGAACCTCTAAGACAAACATTATATATAATCTCCTTCAAGATCCTCACACATGCATTTAAACATGAAGCTCTGGTTAGAAAAAATGTGAAAACAACTTCCAAAAATACAACATAAGCTTCACAGTCAGACTTGACTGAAACTATCAAAACCTCCTTACATAACAAACCTTATCTTACATAATAAATATATGCAATTATAATCTATGTACAGAACACATGAACATTAATTTATTTAATTCTGTTAATTCAACAGAATCAACTATTTTATGGTAACAGTATTATTGCAATATTGGGGAAGTTAAATTACCCCGAATAAAAATATTTTTTAAATCATTCTTACTCCCATTAAGGCTCTAGAGAGCCTCTACTCTAGGCTTGGGGCTAGTAAGGTTCTATAAAATGCAAAAGATAGGTTCAAATGAAATAACTGAAGTTCTCAGTTTTGCTAAAATACAGAAGACAATTTTTTTACTAACATTGTTAAATTTTTTTTAAATAAACATTTTTTGCAGAAATTCTTCATTACCCTCATTTTTAATTATTTAATTTTCTATTGGCCAAAAATCAAGAAATCGGTTGTTTCCTTTCAGTGTTTTTTTTGTGGGAAGTTGGGAGAGGTCACAACAAAAGGCTTCAGAAGTTTTTTTCAAAGCCAGCTCAGTCCCTCAATGTTCACTGTACCCATGCAAAAATTAGAAAAGACAAAAAAAAGTCATATCCAAAGTAACTATAAAGTAACTACAACTTAGAAGAAAATTTTATACTGTTTATCTGACTAGGAGCAAGGATCTGAATCTCAGCATTGTATTTCATAGCATAACACTCCTTCCTGAGTGTCACAACTGGAATAGTGTACAAACATATGCATAAGTAGAAAAAAAGAGAGAGACTGCAATAATAGTTGAGTCAGTGAACTCAGATATGGGAGAATCGCTTTGGAGTTTTTATCTGAATCAACCTCAGCGGGAAACAATATATCTGCAGGTCTATTTAAATGCTTTCTCTTTGACTACAAAGTCTATTTTAGATGTTTTTTAAAAATTCCTCAAAGTACTTCATCAGATAAAATTTTGACTTAGAAAAAATTAACAAAAATTTTTCATTAAAAGTCACATTCACTACCATGCAAGTATCTACAGAGCAATTTTAGAAGAGTGTGATATTTACAGCATGTTCTTCGTCCATTGACTATCCCTAGTCAATCAAATCACATTGTTTGTTTTTTCCCTTTACTCAATTCCTTCTGGATTTTTTTCTTCTGGACATAATTATGCAATATCACACAAGTAATTTCAGTTTCAGATGAAACATTCTAAGCAGCCAAATATTTTGCCTTAGTATTTCATCTGCAGTATTAGTAGTTCATACAGGATAAACTGCATGTTGTAACCTAACAAGCCATCATTTCTACTTCTGCAAAGGATGATTATCTGCACACACAAACAGTATGTTTCTGAATATACCCATACATCACTTAAAGGATGAGTGGAAAGTCTCTAAGAGATGTCTTTGTTAAAGAAAGAACCAAATTAGTAACGCAATAAATGACAATGTTGAAGGTCACATCACCCTGTCTCCACAAGGTAATCAGAAAAACACAAAGAGAAATAAATCCAACTGTACCGTGTTGGAATTGGAACTTCAGCTAGTCCCGTAAGCAGCACTGCAGGAGACAACCTAACAAAAGCAACAACCGCACGGTCCAGGAACTCTAATTCACCAACTAAGATGTTTGATGCTTCAGCCCCAGGTGGTATCTTTTTCATGAAGTGTAGGTCAACCTGGAAAAAGTATACTAAATTACAACCTAAAAGCTATTCACAGAGATTTTTTGATCCCAATTTGTTGACAGAGACTTTCTGGTCACTGCACTATAATTTTAGTTATTTCAATTACATAGTTTCTACTGTTCTTGCCTGTTGAATAATTTTTTTTAACTAAAAATGTTTCTCAAAATCAAACTAGTCTCTCACTATTTGACTAATTTTTCTTGGAAACAGTTAAAGTACTGCAGAATTAATTTAATAAAGACAACAAATCACATTCAAAATCTTGTTAAGAATACAGTATTAAGGTCCTAGTAATACTTTTTATCAATAATTCATGACAGACTCAGTAAGTGATAACAGCAGAAGAAATAAAGACACCTTATTTTTCCATAATTAACAATTCTGGAAATCATAAATACATAGTTGCTGTATTATAATATCAATGAGAAGAACAGGTTCCACTGCACATAATTTTCCTTCTACTACCCTAAGTGAGATGTGTTTTTGTTTTCAGGTTGAATGGAAGACAGTTGCCCTTCTGCTGAAAATAACAGAAAATAAGCTATAACCACAATTGTCTCAAGGGTAAACTGAAAGAACACAGCAGAGTAAGAACTTTGGAGTTTTAAGGCAGTGATGTTGACTTTTGCAGGGACAGTAGGAAAAGACAGAGAAACAGCTTCATTGTGATATTGCTATAGAAGCTCAAGGTATTTGCCTAGGAATGTGTTCATTTGTATTTATTTTCCCCAGTATCAGTCTAGAGTTTACTCTCCAACAAAAATCGATATGGAGTAATAGAGTATATAATGTATGTTTGATTTCATTATGCACCAGTATTGTCTACATTTCAAAATGCATGAATTTTGTCATTTGCTTTCCTTTTATTAATCTAAACACAACAACAGCAACCAAATCCAATATAAACTGTTAAAGTGGACCATTTTAATGTCTATCTTACAGCCATCTGTCAGTACTAGTTTGCATAGTTTTTGGTAATATTTAGAAAATTGTTTTCTTGCAAATGGCTCTGGCACTAAATCAGAATTCAGATATAACACAGTTGCCTGTGTAACAGAATCTTATTTTGCTGAGATCACAGAGAGATATCTAATGATACCCTAATCTAATCTAGAATGATAACCAAACACCTCACAAAGTTAAACAAGCATCAAATCAACCTGGAAGGCTGGAGACCAAGTACTTTTTCAAGGTAAAGTATCAGTGAGGTACATTCTATTCCCCACTCAAATCACAAAATAACTCTTCAGGGTTAAATACAAAACCCAAACAGATTCACTTTGCACCTAATTTTGGTGTCATAGGTCATTTACAATTGAGAGAAAGGAAGTAGTCTTTCAGGCACATAGCAATGTGCTTTCTGTACTGATTTTATCTTGTGAATGGATTTAACATTTAATAACTAATGTCTCACATACAACATGCTACAATTGTCACCTTAAGGTCTCACTAACATACAGCTCAGGATCAAGATTCAAATCTGAACAAAATACTCATTCTCCTGTCTACCAGAAGTATTTCCAGGTATGTTTCCTGTACTATTTATCAGCTTGTGATTCCAAAATGTTTTAGGTAGTGAACAAGAGCCCCAGTAAAAAGGAAAGTAGCTGGCAGAGAAGCATCAAACTGGGCAAATACACCCGAACACCAGGTGTTGCTTCTGCTACATAACATGAGTAGAGGTGGCCCTGGAGTGAATTTGGGGCAACAGCAGAAGCTACAACCTTCAACTGCTTCATTTAACCTATCCATTATACATCTCTTATCCCAAGTTTTTACCTGGAGAGAACTCATGTGCATCTTAATCTGCACCCTAACCTGAGTTACATTTATGACCTGGCACTAAATAGTCCCAGTAAACTCCGATTAAACATAAAACTAAATAACTAATGTGGAGGCCATTCCCTTCCAGGGCAACTGGAGGACTGAAGAGGGCGGTGGGGGCCTCCTCCAGAACCAAACATAAACTGACATGAAGACAAACAGAAAATAGCCAACATCACTTCTTAGGAAAGCCATCTATTAATCAGATTTATTTATTTATTTATAAGCGGAGCCAACCAATAGTCAAAAACAAGTCAATTAATTCATGCAGTATTTGAAAGACCAAACTCTGTCAGTGTGAGACTGGGGTTTGATTCAGAAATACTGTTTCCGTGTGGAGTATAGGAACATTGCCATGAAAAGGGACGCAGGTGCAGTCTCTCTATACATTTCGTATTTCAGGACAACTAGGGTTCCCCTCAGCCTCTGGCATAAGAAGCAGAGACCAGCCAGATGCAAGTGTTAAAATGCCATCCCCATCCTGCTCAGACAGAGGATAAAGTGGTGCTGTGACAGATCACCTCCATATCACCCCCGGAACACAAAGTCCTTGTGGTGTCCCCAGAGGAGTGACACATTTACAAGTACAAACATCAGAAACTATGTCTCCCTCTCTGTGCTACTGAAGTAACATTTAAGACAGCTTTTAGTGCCATGTCTCACATTATTCATAGATAGCAATACAATCAACACCGTCTCAGCGTTGTATTCAGATTAAGTCAGCTTTTTGAATCAACTCCAAAATTTGGAATATTAGAAGTAGCCCAAGGGAGATAGATAAGCAAGGAGAGAATATGTGAGGTAGTCAAAGGTGCTTTTTTTGTAGAAGATAAATGAAATTAATATGTGGAACAAAATTAGAGCAAGATATCACAATACTCAAGAGAAAATTAGTGTACTACTCTACTTTCCTCTCAATCTGTGCATGTAATTCCAATTATAACTGTTGGAAGTTATTGCAATAGCACATTTCAAGGGGAAATTGTACTTTACTTATGCATCTTCAAAAGGATAAACGGATCTGTTTAAAGGCAGTCAAAAAGAGGTATTTAGATTACAATCCTTTACTGCTATTTCATTCCTGCAAACAAAAGTTGTTCCTTTCATATTTCTGACATCCTTGTTGGTATCTAACACTGCTGAGGCTAGCTGAAAGATGACACATTGATCTCTTCTCAGGCCAGTTTAGATAGGAAGAGCTCCTTTGATCAGCAAAGCTGCAGCACTACAAAAATAGTGAGTGAAGGATCAAATGATGCAGCCTCCATTCTTGTTTAATACAAACATCATGCAGCTAGATTGTGGACTGGGATTTTGATCCTACAACGCTCAAAGCAACTGGGGAAACGTGCAAGAAAAGCACTACTCAAAGTCATGTCATTCCCTTTGGGTTGTTATGAGCTTCACCTCTGCGCAGCTTAGTTTTGAATAGACAGCTTTATTTATATTTTATATCCTTTACAAAATTTTACATCTTGATCTTAGAACACTTGCAAAAACAACTAGCTTGAGTTAACAGTTGTAATATAAATATCAGGAAACCAAAAATCATACTTGACTTTTCAAAGCATTATAACCTTAGTTTTAAATATTTTTAAAGTATTAGCATTAAATTTTTAACAACTTGCCACTGTTTCTAGATCTCCTTGCTCCCTCTGTAGAAACGTGGTCCATAATACATCCCCAGCCAGCCTCCTTTCTTCTCATTGTCTTTGACAAAAAGATCTGTTTCCCATCTTTATTTCAGCAATGTACCGTTCCTAGTCTGGCATTTTCAGTCAAGAATTCAAATGGTGCAAATAGCTACTGCTGCTAGGAAATAAGTCTGGCACCAGATGGAGCAATCACATAACTCTACTTTTAGCTCAGCTGCACTAACATTAAGATTCAACAGACTCAAAGCGCTGTTCTTCAGAATTTTGGTTTAAATCACCTTTCTTCCCTTACTCAACCTTTGTTGTATTAATGTGTCAGCTGAATTCATCTATCCCTGTCAGGTCTGTCATCTGCATCTAGTGTGACAGTTTGTTTTAGGTACATACAGACTTCTTAAACAAATTAGGATTCTCCTTTACATTAAAGCTGAGAAGCTGTTTACTTTTCTTTGCTATCTAACATTGAACTGTCATTGCAATCTCCACTACTGAACAGTTAACATCTTTTGTGAAGTGTACTGAAATATCTTGGCTTGCCAGAAGAATTAAGTTATAGGTTTACAGAAACACATTCTGTTTGAGACATCTGGAATCCACGAGTTCAGGTTATAAAAAGCGTATTTTGCATTCATGCATTACTTCCACAAAAAGTAAAAATCCAAGAGGTAAATCTGAATTACAAGAAGTCTGAATTACCTTCCAACTCAGATAATTTTCTGTTAATTTGTAAAAATTGCCCCTACACGTATACACCTATGCTATTGTCATGCAATAATTCTATGTTCCTAAACTGTGATTTCCTGTTACCAGTTATTTATCAAGAAAATGGAAAATTCTTTTTTGTTATGCACAAACTGTGTTGCAGTGCACATAAAACTTTAATGCTGAAGTCAAATTTGCACTTCACCGCTTTCTTGATTCACATGGATTCATTTTATTGAATTTAAAAGATCTATTTGGTAATTAGGAAGCTCTCTTCACATCAGTGAACACTTACCTTGCTAAAGTCAACAGTGCTGTTTTCTCTGCTCACATCATTTTTGTTTTCAATACAGGCTGGAGCAGACTGTGGGGAAACAATCTGACCTGCTAAAAGAAGTACCGTTATTACAGAATACTAACAATTACTTCCATAAATAAAGCAACATCTAATGAAATAGTTGTTAAAGAACTACATACAGTTCACATCTTATGTATATGAAGCATCTAAACATGGCATTTTAATTAAAGACTTTAAATTTAGAGTAAGACATTCTCAAAAGACAGAACTTTTGTCACGTGCAGTTAGGAATAGGAGAATGTAATTTAGAAAATGTAAAAGATACTCCTGAATACTGGAAGACAAACTTTCTATGCTAATTAAAGCTTATGATTTTTAAGATATTACATTTGAAGAGAGTCCTGCATTCATATAGTATTTCTAAGTAATTTGAGGAGCTGCCAATTTTGGGCAATATCTGTCTACAAGAATACTCCTCACTGAATAAAACAGGATTACTAATTTTCACAAATTTACTCATGTATGTAAGAATATCCTGATTATAACAACTACAAAACCCAGTATAAAAGTGGGCTGCTAAAAAAATAGATGTGTTGGAAATCAAGATGATACAAAAACTCAGTATTGAACAATGTGATTGCTGGCATGTGAAAAACAAATGTTTCAGCAAACACATTTTCAAAAAATTCCAGTGAGGATTTAGTAAAGTATTTTATAGGCGTTTTGAAAATATCTCAGGATGAGAAGTGTTTAAACACACCTCAGTCTTGTGTAAGCAAACAGAAATGCCTTGTGACCAACAAAATTTTGCCAATGAATCCTCAAAAAGAAAAGTACGATTAACTAACAAGTATATGTCACATAAAGCGTATTTTTACATAACACCAACATTGACCCTATGCACAGCCAGAGGCCATGTATTGTGTTTGAGTGGCAAGACTTTGGCAGTGGGGGGGCTACAGGGGTGGCTTCTGTGAGAAGCTGCCAGAAGCTTCCCCCATTCCAACAGAGCCAGTGCCAGCCAGCTCCAAGGCAGATGCTGGTAATGCCTCTGTGAGATAACATATTTAAGGGGAAAAAAAAAAAAAAAAGCCTACACATTTGACTTTGACTGCAAAGTCAAAGAGAGGAGTGAGAATATGTGAGAGAAAAACTCTGCAGACACCAAGGTCAGTGCATAAGGAGGGCAAGAGGTGCTCCAGGCACCAGAGCACAGGTTCTCCTGCAGCCCATGGTGGGGCAAGCTGTCCCCCTGCAGCCCGTGGAGGTCCACGGTGGAGCAGATCTCCACGTGCAGCCCAGGGAGGACCCCACGCCAGAGCAGGTAGATGCCCAAAGGGAGGCTGTGACCCCTGGCAGGACCTGTGGTCCCATGGAGAGAGGAGACCAAGCTGGAGCAGGTTTGCTGCAGGGGACCCAAGCTGGAGCAGTTTGTTCCTGAAGGACTGCACCCCATGGAAAGGACCCACACTGGAGCAGTTCATGAAAACTGTAGCCCGTGGGAAGGACTCACAATGGAGAAGTTCATAGAGGACTGCCTCCAGTGAGGGCCACCCCCAGCTGGAGCAGGGGAAGAGTGTGAGGAGTTCTCCCCCAGAGGAAGAAGGAGCAGAAGAGACATCTGATGAACTGATTGCAACCCCCATTCCCTGTCTCTCTGTGCCACTCAGTAGGAGGAGGCAGAGAAAAAAAATCAGGAATAAAGTTAAGCCCAGGAAGAAGGGAGGGGTTGGGGGAATGTGTTTTAAGATTCAGCTTTTATTTCTCTCCTACTCTGATTTGATCAGTAATAAATTAAAATTATTTTCCCAAAGTAGAGTCCATTTTGCCCATGATGGCATTTGGTACATCATCTCTCCCTGTCCTTATCTCAACCCACAAGCTGTTTGTTGTACTTTTTCTCCCCATCCAGTTGAGGAGGGGAGTGACAGAGCAGCTTTGATGGGCACCTGGCATACAGCCAGGGTCAACCCACCACAGGCCACCACGCACACACTGAGGGTGTGGGGCTGGCAGTAGGGCAGCACACAAACCCCAGAGGGTGACAGGCCCTTCCCTGCTTGCCTTCACTCTTTCTCCTGGCATGGCAGGAGCCGCGCACAGCTCTGAACATCACAACAAAGTATAGGAAAAAGTACCAAATACACGAGCCAACTATCTCTTACTGCCCTAACACATACCCAGGAACAACTACAGAGTCCAACTGGCCCAGAGTCAGCATCTCGTGCCCAGCATATATTTGTTTCCATAGCAAATAAAGTCTCTCATATGACTGAGAAATGATGATGTGAAAACATTGGTTCTGGTGAAAATCAACCTAAACTTGCACAGTAACAAAGACCATATGTTCACAATACTTGAAGATGAAGACAGTCAGAAAGTCCTAATCTAGGCCCGTTGTTTGGGCGATTCTAAAAGCCACGGTGTGTCCTCTCACACTGCTGTTACACACGCTTGCTGTCCAAGCATGTCCTCAGCCACAGCCAGGAAACAGAGCGCTTCGCAGGATCCAGTCTGAACAGGACACGAGACTTGCAAGAGTATCTCCACCACTGCCAAAATACTGAAGTATCCAGCTTCTGTCACAGCTGAGCACTACAGTATCCCTGTCTAAGTCTGGTTGTGAATTCCCAGTTGAAATACTTGCGCAAGGAAAAGGTTGGTTTTCATGAAAATCAACATCTCATTTTCCATTAGGCAAATCTCCCATGACACAAAACAGTTTTTAGACTCTTGTGCTACACCCTGATAGCATAGCCAGAGAGATTTCACTTTGATTAGGAAGTACAGGAACAGAATGTTTTAAAATGTATTGCTACAAATCTTATTATTAAATATATCAATCATGAAAAAGTAAGCATTTCCATTTTCTCTCCAATTCAGGACAGATCAAAACAAGAACAGAAATTAGGGCTTTTGTTCAGCACTACAGGGAAATAAACAAGGTGGCAAAAAACCAGACATGACAAGCATGTTAACCTATCCAAGTAGATAAAAAAAAGTCAGGATTGGAATAAAGATAAAGGATTGATTTCAGAAAGCAACATATTAATGTAACTTCAAGGAATTGACACTAAGACTATTAATTCCTAAATGTCACAAGAGACAACTTTTGCAAATCAGAAGCCAGAAATTATTAAATATGCAAGATGCTTATAAACGGTCATTCAATCTGTCTCGTTTTATTAGAGCTTAAAGAAAAAACAGAGTTCCATCATTGTTACACCATCACCTTTACACTTTATATCCCCATGTACTACTGCACACTGTTAATTTTTTTTTGTATTGCTTATTTACTAATCTTAGAATTATTTTTACAGGAATCATCCTTTAGTATTATAACAATTAAATATAATTAATATATACATTTGATTTCCATACTAGTTGGGAGATTTTAATCACATAACAAAAAAACCCTTCCACTAATTCTAACAGAGAAGCCATAAAATGCTATGGGAAAAATTCTGACCTAACTTACTCCCAGAAAACTTTAAATTTAGTAATATCAGACCTTCTTAACTCTTAATTTCTTCTCCTTTTAGGTACTCCTTTATATTCTAGGATCTATACAAAAGGAAATATTTGTAATAATTGCTCATACTAATATACATACCATGTTATAAAGATGTTACAGCAAAGCAACAGAAATAGTAGTTCATTATCCTTCTGTTGCTAATTAGGAATTTACATTTATACTATTTTCTTTCTGGACCCAAAACTTCAAGAAAGTGAATCAAAGCATAGACCACTTGTTATAAATACTGAAGTTTTAACATCATAACTGGAGGTGTCAAAAGCCTCTAAGCAATTAGCGTAACAGTCCAAACGCTAACTTTTAAACATTGTGTCCACTTTTGTTTTAGGAGAAAAATATGCAAAAATATACATAGTAGGAAATAAAAGCCACAACCAGCAAGTATATGAAGTTTATAAGAATAGCATATGTTCTTTTTCTGTGCCAACAGAAGACCTCAAACTTTGATTTACCCATATGCTGGAGTAATCTGAAAGAACACAAATTTTACCTTGAGGCAGTAAGAGATGTTTAAATAGCTCTGCAACTTAAGACAGCTTTCTGGATCTTGGAACGAGAAGTTTGGGGGTTTTTTACTGTATTGAATAACAATCAAAGATTCAAGGTGGAGACAACCATTAATTTCACTTTTCACATGATGATCATGGGGAAACCATACAGTCAATAAAATGCGAATCTGGAACTTGGTGTCTATGTGGCCCTTCAACAGAAGAGTAAGTCAAAAACCACTGGGGTTTGGAGAGATTTTTGCTCCTATGCATGTTTAGTTTGTTAGGTGTCCGTATATTTTGCGCTAGATAGTAGGTAGATGCAGTGCTATGGTGGCCCTCTTCCTAGGGGCAGGACTGCAAAGTTACACAGTTATTTTTGTATTTGGTAGCTTCCTCTACTTCTGAGCTATGAAGCCACAAAAATTCATAAATTAATTTAACTTTGCATAAAATTTCACACTGACTGAAAGGAGATGTCTGGGGTGAATACTGTAAGTGCATGAGTAATTCACCACGGGGTAGGACCAAAAGCATACCGATGGCAACCTAGTGAACATTGGCATCACAATGCTACACTGGTTTTCCATTGTCATTAAAAACATTCAGTTTACTTAAGCATGTTGGCAACTATATATGTGTTTTATCCTCAAGATGCTTTTAATTTCAGCAACTGATTGTTTTCTCTGAATGAAGGACACGGTTATTGGCACCATGATGGCCCCATGAAGCAACAATCAATTACAGAACTATGTGAATGATGAGGGGAACTGTCACATCATACCTAGACTAAAACAAACAAACAAAGGCGTTTCTTCTCCGATTCCAACCAAAATGTCAACAGTCACCACTGCATCAAACTGTCTCTGGGACACAGGCACACTAAATCCAAGTTGTCTCCAAATTTTATCTTTATAACACGCAAGTCTTCAAAGCACTATGTGCAAAAGAAAAAAGAAAAACCAAAAACCCAAACTAACACCAAGCCCTAGCCCAGCTTTAAACATCTGCTCTGAGAAAAACACTTGCGATGGTTTGTTACCTCTCTGAGCAGGCAGTATGCTTT